TTTATTAAATAATTTTAGTTTATAACTAAAAAAAATTCACATGAAATGGTGACTGTCACAGAGGAATCCAGTCTATTGGAGGAAGTAGACCCATAAACAGATACAGAAAGGTGGGCCTAGTAAGTGTTCAGCCGTGCAAGTTGTCAGCTAGACAAGTGCCTTCTCCCAGGGTGGAGAGCTTTAGTCATCAGCTTCCCTGAAGAATGATAAATAGGATGCAGACAGCTAGGGCCCAGCGCTGCCAAATAGACCCTTAGGATTGAAATATAGCTGTGCTGTATGTTGAACTGAGAACATGCGCACACCCTAAACGCACTGTACCATTGATCTGAAACGTGTTCAGAGGTGAGAAAAAATACGATAATAGTGATGATGCTAATATTTACTGTAATAGGGCCTTTCTCTGGCTCTGTGAAAGGAAACAGCCTGCAATGGAGGTTGCTTTTGTTGAATGGGACAGGGAGGAAGTCTCATGAGCACACACCCACATGCTGCTGGCCGCAGTGCTGTGAGTGTGTGTGTGTGTGTGTGTGTCCTCATCCGTGACCAGTGCTTTGAAATGTGAACAGAGTAAGAAGGACAGGGGATAAACCACAAGCTACCAGCCTAGACTTAGATTCTGCAGCTGGAGTTTTTGGAGGTAATTGCTGGTTCTGAGAAAACCGTGAGCTGTGTGTTCAGATACGTGTGGCTGTGCCGAAAGTGGCTGAGTGACTCTCTGAGCACCTTGAGAGGGCTGTTAAGAGATTACCACCTCTTTACAGCTCAGGAGGCTGCTTCTTTGTATTTTTCTAAGCCAAGCAAGAAAATCATAGTGAATCTCTCACACATTTTCCCTATAAATGCAATAGGTATCAATGTCCTTGCTCTTGTTTGATCATCAAATTAAAGCTCAGAAAAGTAAATTAATTTGTCTGAAGTTGCACAGTTAATCAGAAAATAACATGTATTATTACTGGCCCTATAATTAGCTCTTTGGATTCTTATGTCTTTTCACCCCCAGTGTAATTTGGATAAGTATATTTCCATTTGCCTCTTTTCCCATAAATAAATGTACTTTTGTGTACTTTGGAAAATGCCACAGATTTTCTCTTTTTTCCTCACTCATATTTTGTTTGCATTCCATCTGACTCTATTAGACTGAAATAAGCTATAAATTATTTAGGCAATTTTGTCACATCTGTGATCCACAGGATATAAACTTGGATTCCCTCCCAGTCTTTCTCATCCTAGGAAATTCAGCCATGTCCATGACATATTTTTTTCTTAACTTTATGCTTGGTTGATTGGCTCAAAGCTTAAAGAATTATGTTGCTAAATTTTCTATTCCTCTTGACCTAAAGAGGAAGACAAAGAATATAATGATCAATTTAATTTGAGAATAAATAATTTTTTTCCAAATAAAATACAATTTCATTGATTTTGGGCACAGTGCCACTGTCTTCAATTGAATACTTTGAAAACAAAGAAAAACACTGTAAGACCAGTCCCTCCGGGAGCAGTATGAAGTGGTGGCCTCTAAATCCACAACTCACAAGGCCTATCACGTGGGCCCTTGTGAGGATCTACCCCACTGAACCCTGAGCCTCACTTGTCTCATTTGATAGTTGTGGCATGGGAGAGGGAATGAGGTGCCCGCTCAAGTTGACTGATGGTGTATTGATGGCAGGACCACAACTTGAATCTGGACATCATCTCCTGGACACTGACTTGTTCTTCTTTCTATGCATGTTGGACACTTTAGTAGTTCCCTGTTGGCTCTAAATAAAGGTCAGCTCCACACAGGGCATACAAGATCCTCATGATTTGCCAACCACCAACATGTATAGTCTTAGTCCCTGCTTTGTACATTCTGTATCTGCTCCCTGGAATCAGATTAGCTGTGACCCCCTCCCCACAAGCACCACCAAATTTGTCTTGTAGGCATTCATTCATTTTTCAAATCCAGATTGTCACCTCCACCAGGAAGTCCTCTTCACCCTCTTCTCTTTTCACACCCCGTTTTCTCTCTTGCCTGGTATATTTATTCACTTACTGATTTACTCAGCAGATATTTCTGAGGACCTACTAAGTGTCAGGTACTGAGCTAAACAGAAGTTATACACCCGTGAGCACACCTGACCAGATCCCTGCCCTCATAGAGCTTGCAGTCTAGTGGAGATATTAAAGGCAGTAAACACACAGATAGATAGATAATTACAACTGGAATGATTGCCACAAAGGAAGTAAAAACTGTGATTGGGATCTGAGAATCCTTCTCCATGTCCCCAGCAGCAGTGAGCATCTGGGGATCCTGCCCACTCTGGGGGCTCAGTGACAGAGGAGGGAGGCTGCAAGGAGCTGGGCTTCTGCTAACACCTGACGCCCGCCTCCTCCCCACTGGCTGCTGAAGCACTCAGTGTTCTGTTGAGCGAAGGGCATAAACATATGGCCATGATAGTGAGGAAGGGGGCCTGTGGTCAGGCAAGAAGGTGTGATATTGTGGGGATCGATGTGATGCCTCTTTCATATCCCCAGTTAAGGCTGTTCTCTAATAACTGTGATGAGGGGCAGGGAGGCACCTCTTTGGTTTAAACACTGCCTAGCGACATGGTGAATAGCCCAGTTGGAGGTCTATTTATACCCTTATTCTTCTTAATTCTATAGGATTAATAAGTTAGAAGTATTAAAATCTCTTTAGAAATTTCTGTAGGAAGATAGATGAACATTTTCATAAAAAGCATCTCAGTTTTTGAAAGATTTGAAAGAAGTATTCAACTATCTTTAAAAAATAAAAGTACACCTATAGAACACACCAACCCCTTACTTAAAAATAGACACAGAGTTCATGCGGAACACTCGACAAGACACTCATTCTCTAGGATTTATCTATCATATATATATAAATTTACTTACAGTTTGAATTCAATGTTATTTTGTATTAGTTTTAGGTGTACAGCATAGTAGTTAAACAGTCATGTATTTTACAAAGTGTTTCCCCCTATATTTCCAGTACCCACCTGGCATCATACATAGTTATTACAATATTGTTGACTATATTCCCTATGCTGTACTTTATAGCCCCATGGATACTTTGTAACTACCAATTTGTACTTCCTTATCTGGGATTTATTTTTAATTTTAGCAAGAAATAGTTGCTTATGATGTCACAGGATTTTTATGAAGGTGTTTATTCTTTTTAAAATTATATAAACTTTTAAGTTCTTGAACTGAAATGTATTTTGTAAACTCCAAGTATAATCTAAATTACAAAGATAGCATGCAGCTTTTCAGTGTAATGAACTTGCCACTTTTCTCACCCGTTTTTTTAATTTATTTTAGTGGGACATAGAATATATAACATTAGTGCATTCATTTGAGTTGAAATCTTGTTATGCAAGCTTTTTTTCTTCTGTTTTTTTCTTCTGTTTTTTTCTTTAGGTAAAAAATTAGATCACTACTTATAGATTGTCAACCATTAAGGGAAATTGTCCAAATCACATTTGTTCATATGGACTTGCTGTCAGAAATTTTACTACTCTGTGTTGTGGTAAAAATAACAAAGATTTTAATAAAATCCAGATGACACATATCTCAAGACTAGAGGTCTGGTGCACGGATTCGTGCACTGGTGGGGTCCCTCAGCCTGGCCTGCGCCCTCTCGCAATCCAGGACCCCTCAGAAACTGGCAGCCCAACATCCCCTGAGGGCTGCGCTACTCCCACTCATCCCGGCCCTGCTGCACTTGTCACTCCACCACTCAGGCATGCAGGGGAAGTGTCCCCGGGAGAGGCTGCACCGCTACAGCTGCGCTCACCAGCCATCAGCCAGGTGTCTGGCTCCCATCTGACAACTGAGCAGCACTCCTGCTGTGGGAGCATACTGACCACCAGCAGGCAGCTCCTGCATTGAGCGTCTGCACCCTGGTGGTCAGTGCACGTCATAACTACCAGCCGGTTGTACAGTCACCTGGTCATCTGGTCGCTTAGGCTTCTATATATATAGATGCTTAAAGTCTTTTATTTTGTTCACTTAAAGTATTAGTAGTTTGTATTATGGATTCTTATTTATATGTTTGAGACTTTTATTTAGTCTTCTACAATTATTAAAAGTAATAGACTATTTAAAATGTTCATGAGAAACATTTAAAACTGTAATATGGAAAGTTCTACTATATTTTCTTAAACTTTTTTTAAAAGGAAAAATGCAATCCAGTACATTAAGATTTGTTGTAAATAGGCCTCTCTTCAAATGTTTTCATGCCATATACACTCATGGAAATACAAGCTACTTTTTGCAGTGTACTTATTATTAGTTAGAAACCAAACTATAAGTGAACTATCGTGACAGGAAAACCTTTACGAATTAATATTAGAGAAAGGTGCTTTGTCAATGTAATGAGTTATTATTGTATGGGTTTTGATTCCAGAAAATTTCATGGACTAAATACTTGCTTACTGGCTTTATTTGAGAGGTGCTAAAAACTCCTCAGCTCAAATGATCTCCCTCATTGATACCAAACATTACCATTTCCATTTAATTTTCCTTATGCTAGCTCTGCTTCTCCTGGTGGGATTTATATTTGGGCTTTTTTTTTATGCATTCTACTTCTGAGAGGACAAATAGTTCCACATGATACCTCAGTGAGCTGGAGTATATCAGTTTTGCTCCCTGGGAATGAGTTTCCCCAGGGAAGAAGGAGGGCAGAGATTCTGAAAGGGAACAGAACCAAGAAACAAGGTTGCTGTAGGCCTCACAGAACAAGTAATGGTCATGGATTGCATTATGCAAATAGCAGCTGTTTCTGGGTGGCAAATGTTTGTTGGGTCTGTATGAACACCTCCGGCATGGTGTTAGCCTCAGGGCTTTTCTGATGAATTCAGCACACTGATCAAAAGGTTTTCATTGGTTTAATCTATTCATTCCTTCAATGAGAACTTGAAAGTGAAAGAGATGGTTAAATGCCCAATGAAGTGGAATTAACCTGAAATTAATTTGTCCTTCACTATTATGTGTTTCAGAGACTGGAGCACAAGGAAGTTTTGGTGGGCCTGTTGTTCCTGGTTTTCCCGTTCATCCCAGCCAGCAATCTCTTCTTCAGGGTGGGTTTTGTGGTGGCCGAGAGAGTCCTTTACATGCCCAGGTAATTACTGCTCATGATTTCGTCTTTATGAGGCCTGCCCTCTGTCACCAACACCAATAGCTCCAGAGAGACTGTCCTATAGGGTATAACAAATAGATCCTTGTGGAGCTAAGATGCTTATTACCTCAGCTTCCAAACCAGCCACAGGGCAGGTTGGATGAGCCCACTTTGCACCCATTCACTCTAGTTGACAGTGGCTTCCCTCCAGCTGGAAGCTTGACAGTTAAATGGGAAAGAGTGACTGGAGTGTATTCAGGTTTTTAGCAGCAATCATTTACCAAGACATTCTTTTCCAAATATCTATGTTTTATTAAGCATTATTATAGTAATTCTGTAGTAATATTTTTGATGTGTTTAAAATTATTAATTATGTTCAATAACATGATTGTATTTGAATTCTGTCTTCTTTCTTTCTCTGTCTCTTTGTTCTTTGGCTTTTCATTAAAAAATAGGAAAAAATCTCAAAAAAATTTGTCCTTGAGGGAAAAAAATGGTTACAAATATAAAGGGCATTCAGACGTATGTGATTACATCACACCACTTAGCTCTGAATGTCTGGACTGTGCTGAAGCTTGTCTGTTCTCTTGTCTTATTCAAATGGCATCTTTCCAAGGCCACGTTTCTTTTCAGGTGCCTGGATGTGTCCCTGAAATGGTTCTGCCATTTATCTGTTGTGTGACTTTGAATAAAACATGATGCTTTTTAGAAGCCAGGTTTTCTAATTTTTAAAATAAGGATTTTAGTGAACTTCCTAAAATGAGTAATTTAACGATTGATATATAAGAATGAATTTTTCTAAAAGCAAGTATCATAAACCAAAATATTATAAGGACATTATTTATTTATTGATATTCTGTTAGAATTTTTAATTGATTTAAACATCAATAAGTAAGATTTAATTTTTTTATTGATACTGAATTAGAAGTTTAAATATACATAAAATTAGAAATGAATTTCATAGCCTTTGAATTCCGCCCAAACCAAGTGCCTGACAGTGTTCTTAAGGCTTTGGAGCATCTGGTTTTGACTTGGTTCAGGAGAGAGCATCCCTTAAGTTTCTTTATATGTCTTTAGCACAATTTTGGAAGGAGGTTCTTTCTTGGTAAATACTATTCGATAAGAACAAAAATACAACACAAATATTTTGTATTCTCTATGGCCTTATGATAACAGGCTATGAGGCCTTGCCAATAATAAGAAATATGAAGGGCTAAAGGGGACATCAGTGTCTATTCTCGATATGTTTTTGCTTAGACCAGTTGAAAGTGGCTTCAGTCAGGTGTTCTCTGTAAATACCTATTAATCTGAGTGGAGTCGATATTTAGTTTTCATTTAACAGATATTCACAAAACACCATTGCTAGGCATACTGTTCTGGAATCTGAGGCTACAAAAATAAGGGAATCTCAGTTTTTCCCCATTAATTTAATAGCTGCTTATTAATAAAAAGGCATCTTTCTCTCTAAACATTTAACAGGTCATAATATTCTTTAAAATATTAATACTATTTTAACACTCATTGTAGCAAAACTTTTATTGAATCTTTATTATATGTCAGCACTATGTTAGGCCTGTGGTATTCATTGTATCAGTTAATTCACGCTGTAGGCAGTGGTTGACAGCATGGCCCTGAAGCCAGAGCGCCTGTGTTGGAATTCTGGCTTAAACATGAGCATGGGTTTCTTAAGCCTCCGTTTCCTTATCTGTATGCAGATAAGGAATAGCACCCAACTCAGTGAGATATTGTGAGCATTAAATGAGATGATCACTCATAAAACCTAGAAAGTGTTTTGTATTGTACATGGTCAGTAAATATCAAGTATTATTATTGCATCGGTTGGGGTAGCTGACACCAGTATTTCTATTTTACTAAGAGAAAGCCTGGGTCTGAGAAGTGAAGTGACTTGCCCTGGGTGACCAGGTGACATAGCTAGTGAGTGGCAGAGCTGGGAAGCAGATCCTTGCCTACCGACAGATCTCGCACCTTCCAGACTACATTGCTTCTGCAATAGTGACTTCTTAGTGTTCTGCTCAACTGAAAAGGAAGGAGGAAATGTGGATTTAGTTAAAGTACTTACAGCACAATTCCATTTGGTAATCAGGACTTGATACTTCCAAGAGTCACGTGATCTAAACCTTCTGGGGTCTGGGTGACAAGAATTGCATATGCAACACACATTTCTAGTCCAAATGCAAGAGAACAATTTGTGATAAACAGGAGGCTAGATTTTATTTTTTTGAAAGAGACCCTTAGGTAAACATTATGGAAGTCCATAATATTGTCATCAACCATGTGTGGAATATCTTATTTAAAGCAAGGGGTTCCTCTCACCCAGGTGAGTGTGTCCTCCAAACACCTGCTCTTCCCGTGCTGCTATATCTCAAATAGACCTTTCTCTAACTTTATTTCATTTTCTCTAAAAAAGACAAAGTGGTGTCCCTGCCCTTTTTGTGCTAGGAATAAACTGACTTGGATTAAAATAAATGTTCGGAATATGAAGAAAACATCAATATTACCAAGAGCAAGTGCCTGCCTCTCAAAAGCAATCTGGATTCTGCTGCATTGTGCACACTTGGTGCAGAGTCATCCAAAATCAATTTCAGTAAACCAGTCTTCATTAGAAAGGCGCTGTCCTCTTCCCTTCACGTTCCTGCAGCTATGCATTGCAGTGTCGGAGATGTGTCATCATTTTCCGAAGATTTCCCTTTACTGCCCAGCATCTCCTGTATTCGTATCCCTTTCATCACATTGCTCAGTCAGGCCACTCCTCCTCCATAGCTACATGTGACAGGGAGGTGGAGGTGCTCTCCCGCCCTGTAGAGGTGGTCCTGGGGGCTGGTAAAGAGGTCAGGTGACTGGACCAGGTCTACAGCTCTGAGCATAAACATGAGAGGGTTTTTGTTGTTTTTCGTTTTGGTTTTTAAAAAATATATATTTATTGATTTCAGAGAGGAAGGGAGAGGGGGAGAGAGAGAGAAATATCAGTGATGAGAGAGAGTCATTGATCAGCTGTCTCCTGCACTCCCCACACTGGGGATGGAGCCCACAACCTGGTCATGTGCCCTGAATGGGAATCGAATTGTAACCTCCTGGTTCGTAGATCAACAGTCAACCTTTGAGCCACGCCAGCCATGCCAAAGCTGAGAGTTTAATACAGATTTTGAAAGGCTGAAATCAGAGGAAACTCAGGATATTTTTGTGTGTGTGTGAGACATTATCACTCTAATGAATCCCAATATTCTTTACAGTCATCATTGTAACTAACACCAGAGGGGCGCTGTTTTACTTATGAAGATGGCTGGATTCCATTGTTACCTAAAATTGTGCAACTGAGATGGTCCTGGCTGAGTCAGAAATTAAAGCTTAGGTGGGGAAACTTCTATGCTTGAGCTTAGAGAGTTCAAATGACTCCAATAGACCCGTTGTAAATATTGACAATTTTCTGTGAAAATGGGGGCTTCTTCTGGAAAAGATTTTACCCGCAATGATCAGCCACCCCATCTCAGTGGAGAATGGTAGAGAATTGGACAAAGAGCTGCCCAAATCTTCCTGGGGGGGCACAGAGAATTTGGCAGATGCTGCTGGCACCCCTCGGAGAGTGTCAGGGCTCTGGATTTTGCCTGTTGCATTTAATGAACCTACACATTAGCTTGGATGATGGTGAAGAACATGTCCCAAGCCTTTTAGATATGCAAGAATCTGCTCTGCATGACTGTCTTCCCATTATTGACCTTGACAAGAAACAGCCATTTCCACATCATTGGTACCAGAACTTTCAGGAAAACATACACACAATGTGTTCAGTGGCATCCCAGAAAATATAGGTCATTATCTTTATGCTGACCTTCTGTGTTGTCTCAAAGACTTTACCAAACATTAGGAAAACGAAGTAAAGAGCTGATCCTTCTGAGGAAGGTCACCTTCCTACTCATTAAATATTTTAAGTTATTATAGAGCCCACTCTTGGCCTTAGAATTTCATTCATGAACACCACAAAAGTCACGCCCACCATCACTGGAGACTGGGTGAGTCCCATCAGTCCCAGGGGGCCAATTTGTCCATGTTACAAGATAGGCCCAGAATGAGTCAGACCAGAAATGCTCTTTCATCTCCCATCTTTATGTCTAATAATGAACAAGCCACATATGCCTCATATCCCTCCATCCTAAGCTAGGGAAGACGGAAAATTCCACCTTCCTCTCACTTGCACTTCCTTTCACTCCAAAGCTGTGGATAAAAGGAACAGAAGTAGGCTATCTGTTCAGCACTGCATGGCTTTAGGGTCAAAGCTTTACCACCACCAAAAAAAAAGGAATAATCCTTTCTTCTGATGATTATTGCCATTTTTGTCAATGTCCTTTTTTAATAGGCAGGAGAGTTTGGGGCTTAAATCATTCTTTCACAGGAATTTTGATCTCTTATTCTTACCTCAAGAGAAGCATACACTTTTCTGGTTACCTTTTTTTGTATTTTATAAAAACCACATTAGAATGTTTAAAAGGCCTAAAATCATTTAGAACCAATGAAGCAGAAATAGTTATTGAGAACATTCAAATAAAGTCATAGAATGTGCTTGGATATCCATTCATATGCCAGATTAAGGGTGATTTATTCACTTTGGTGCCAAAGAGCAAATTCCTAAGCTACTTTAAGAAAACATGAATGAATGGAGACAGGAAAAGAATAGACAGGAGTAAGTGAAGGCAGCAACAATATCGTGGATAGAACTGATCAAGAATAGTTGAAACCACAGAAGATGACATGTATTTGAGGGGAAAAAAAGAAAAATAACAAATTGCCCTACTCTTAGAAAGAGATGCCATTTGAATTGTATAGAACCTAAATGTATGGACAGCCCTAGCCAGTTTGGCTTAGTGGATAGAGCATCCGCCCGAGGACTGAAGGGTCCCGGGTTCAATTCTGGTCAAGGGCAAGTACCTCGGTTGCAGGCTTGATCCCTGGCCTAGATTGGGACAAGTGTGGGAGATAACTAATCGATGTGTCTCTCTCACATTGATGTTTCTCTCTATCTCTCCCCATCCCTTCCACTCTTTCTAAAAATCAATGGAAAAATATCCTGAGGTGAGGATTAACAAATAAATAAAATAAATATATGGGCAGACTAGATATGGGAAATTAGAGAAAAAATGACTCTTTTTCATTTTCAATTTTGAGAACTATCTTCAAATCATACCTATCAATTTGAAGTGGAATTTTTAAATCTTACATAGGTTGCTACTGAAACAATACTGCAGTACCTGTTTTCACCTGGCAAAATGAGAAATGTTACCTCTGAAGAAACACTACCTCTGTTACCTGATATTGGGGACCCTTCTGATGAGACATCTATGCATTTGCTTCTTCTGAGTTGCTGGAGGAGAGTGATGATCACTTAAGAGTGAATCGAAGTTGTACCAGATACTAAAATCAGCGGAGAATTTTTTTTTTTGGTAACAACAAAAACTTATTTTAGCAAATCCAATAGGAAGATGACTGAACTGGGAATCAGCACAGCCCAACCTGTCCCCACAATGGCCAGGCTAAGCTGCCTTTAACACAGGCAATATGAAGCCCTAGTAATATAAACAAATAAGGCCTCATGAGCTTGAGCAAGTCTCCTGTGGCCACAGAACTGGAGAGTGGCACAGAAGATGTAGTTCCAGACTCTTTATTCTCTAGTAAAATCCTTTTCCTCATTGCAAACCCCCAAATGCAAAGCCTGTACCGGAACACTTTTGTTCTGTTGCAGCTAATAGTGGCCTGGGGGCCTTAGGACATTACTCTATTTAGAGGAGTCTGGTATAGAGACATCTGTTTCTACCTGGAATACCAACTCTGTGTATTTCCTGCCTTCAGTTTCCTCATTTATGAAATGGAAGCTACGGAGGATTAAGTTTAAGTTAGATAATATATGTAAAGCCAGTACTTTCCTGGTCCCATATAAAGTACTTAGCACAGTGCCTGGCACATAGGAAGCATTCAGCAAATATATAAACATAAGGTAGCTAATTATATTTGCTTATATGCGCGGTCTTTGCTGCTCCTTGTCTTCGGCCACTTGGGGGCATTGCCTTGGGGCTCTTGGGATCTCAGTGCTTTTCTTTCCCGCTGCTCTGTTTCCTACATGGAGGCAGAAAACAACAATTAAGATTTCATGAGTGGGGCAGTTGGGAAGGAAGTAGGTGAAGCTGTGTGTTAGGTGTGAGGAAGCATGGGCTCTAGAATCTGTATGAGCTCTGACCTCATTCAGCAGGTCAGTTCACCTTTCCCTGCTCTTTGTGAAGGCCAGAGTGAGAAGGCAGCTGCCCTTGCTGATGTGGTGTCCGCAGGTGTCCCACCCCCCTCTCATTTCAAAACTTTGTTCACAGGCCATCTTTTCACCGAGGCCTTCCCTGAGCCCCTGTATTAAATCCCAACCTCCACCCCACCTTGGACTCCCTTGTTCTCTTTCCTGCTGACTTTTTCTCCACCCAACACAGCATATTACTCTCTGTGTGCATACTCTTTGTTTTATTTGCTTATCAGCTGTTCCTGATATGAGTTTCACGAGAATAGGAATTATTGTCTGTTCTATTCACTGGTCTGTTCTTGGTGCCTGTCACAGTGTCAGGTATGTAATTAGTGTCTGTTAAATGCCTGATGAATGAAAGAGTGGAGCCTGGAAGGCCTTCGTATAGCCAGAGAAACAGCCTGCTCGGTCAGGATTTGGGATCGGGCTGGGGATATAGGAGTAAATGGCAAGCAGCCTCATGAACAGAAGCCGCCATATGATGGCATCAGCATGGTCATTTGTACAAAAACAGGAGGTTTTTAGAAAAATCTGAATACCTTTATGGCCAAACATAGGGCTTTGTGGAAGTGTGAAGAGGATTTTTTTAAACATATATTTTTATTGATCTCAGAGAGGAAGGGAGAGGGGGAGAGAGATAGAAACATCAATGATGAGAGAGAATCACTGATTAGCTGCCTCCTGAATGCCCCCTACTGGGGATTGAGCCTGCAACACCAGCATTTGCCCTGACCCTTCAGTCCGCAGGCCAACGCTCTATCCAAGGCAGTGAAGAGAGTTTTTGTTTTTATTTTTTGTTGTTGTTTTGTTTTGCACTAGTGACTGTGTCTGGTATTTACAAGGCTCTGCAAGGTGCTTGCGGCAACCAAATTTAGTGACTGGGATGAGGGATCAGGCCATGGGCCTCCTTGGCTCAAACCATCATCCCCAGTGGTGAGTGGGGTGGTGATTCCCTTTGACCAAAAAGTGGACCCTAAAACTTTAGGGAGCTGGACCAATGAAGTCTGGGACTTAAAGTATGGAATTGGAGCTCTAACTTGAATTGATTCCAGGGCCTCCACGTCAGGAACTTCAAATGCTTCTCTCTTGTTCATCAGCCCTTGATACCAAAGCACAGACATTTAGAAAAGCAAAGAGGAGGAAAGTAGAGAGGTGTTTCTTTTAAATGCGGTGTGTGAGAAATGAGAATATTCAGGTGTTTCCTTTTAGAAAGCCAACCTCCTTCATAGGCTGGAGTTCTTTGAGGGCAAGGCCTCTGTTTTGTTCACAATTGTATTTTTAGTGCTCGGCATATTGCCAGTCACATAATAGAGAGGGAATGAATAAATCATTGAACAAGTAAGTGTGCTCTACCAATTTTGGGGCTTCTTGTAGCATTAGTAGTCTGACTAATGTAGGATTTCTTTACACAAGCTTGCTTTGTTCTTAAAATATTCTGTAATAATCTGTTGTTATAGTCTTTAGAATGAAGTGAATTTTGACTGAAGTGCACACAGCAATAATGTGTACAACTCAATGCTTGTGTTTTTCTGAGGCCAGTCAGCACCCAAGCAGCATCCCTGTGGGTGCGTAGATGATGTTAGGAACCATGTTCTGTGTTTAGCGACATGATTTCAGCATGCTGAAATCCCACTCTCATGACGCAAGGGACTCTTCATGTCTGTTTGGAAAGCCAAGCCAGCCTCAGCAAGAGAATCATATCCATACAGCTTGTCTGTGATAAGCTCCAAACTACGAGGCTGTGGGTAGATTTTCCTTCAGCTCAAGGACTTGACTGGTAAGAGTGGAGACATACTAGGGGTCTCATCCCTGGAGAGAGAGACCAATGGCCTCGGTGTACAGCATCCTTCCCAGGACCTGAGAGGGAGCTCCCGGGGACTGTCTCCCACAAAGCTGTGATGGGACTTGCTGTAGCCTAGAGTCCACATTTGGACGCACGGTGCCAGCAGTGCCACACAATGCCAGTAACATGAGGGGCCAAGGGTCAAAGAGTCCATTCAGGACCCAAGAACATGCATGAGGGGCTTGTCATGAGGCCTGGGCTGCTGAGATCCAAGGCAGTTTGGATCTCCACACTAATGTCAAGGAACTCGCCAGTGTCCTGAGTGCCTGTTAAAGGACTGACATGTAGAGATTGTATAAGACAGGGGCGTTTATATTTGTTGTTTCTCTATCACAGGACAAGCTTCATTTGAAAGTTAGTTATATGGGATGGAATGCTCAGGGGGATGCCATTGCACCCCCAAAGTAACCCTGCCTCCCCCCTACCCTGTTTTCCAGCATGGGCTACTGCATCCTTTTTGTGCATGGACTGAGCAAGCTCTGCACTTGGCTAAATCGATGTGGAGCCACCACCCTGACCGTGTCCACTGTGCTGCTGCTGCTGCTTTTCTCTTGGAAAACTGTAAAGCAGAATGAAATCTGGCTGTCAAGAGAGTCCCTCTTCAGGTATGATTTGATGGTATAAGAGTGATCTCTTCCCATTCATTCTTTTGCTTATATACTTGTTTCGAAACAAATGAGCTAACATGGGTCTAGCAATATTTATTGATCCAGAAAATTTTTTTGATTAAGTTTTAAACGGAAGGTGTTATTCTTTGTTTTAACTTTGATTTTTGTGAAGGATATATAAAGTTTTGCAGAAGCTCGTGCTAAGTGAATTTATGAAAATAAGGCTCATGGGAAGATTTTTGGGTCTTAATGATGAGCAGGGCTGTAAAATGAGATCTAAATAAAAGGAAACGAGCCTAATATCTTTTCCAGTGAATGGGAAAGATAAGCACGTGACAAGAAGGAAGAGAAATGCAATGCATTTTCTTCAAATATTTCAGAATATTACGTTATGATTTGTGATCTAGCTGCTTTATTTTAAACATTAATGGTGAATGAGGAAATTAAAGACTGTTTTATCTCCCAGTAAGTTTTCATGTGGAAGCTGCTTCTGGATATAACAATGTCAACATATAGCCCTAAACTGTCATAAAGTATAAACATTCTTTGGGGCTGTAGCTCATCACACTCTGCTCCTGGGCTTAGTCTGTCTCCCTAGTGCCATAGTGTTGGCGACCTTCACCTTTGCTCCCCTATCACTACCACACGTGGCCTCCCCACAGTATTTCTCCAGTCTCCTATCCTGACCTAGGACACAGTTGGCCAGTTCAGTCAACATGGTTTTCACTTGGTTCCCTGCTCAGCTGGTAGCCACCACTTATTCTCCTGAGGCAAATAACTGGAACAGAATTGGAAAAAAAGGGTAAATATTGTAAGAGCATAAAAACGTGCCCAGAATGACAGGCAGTGAAGAACCTGGCATGTAGCCGACAGGAACGGGCATCTGGATAGTCTGTCCTGAGCCCAGGTGCACCCTCAGGAATGAATGGGTAAACTTACACTAGTTTTTTCTTGTTTCACATCCAAGTCCTGGGAAAATAAAGTCCTCTGGCTGAGCTTGAGCCTAGGTCACGTGCCTACCCCTCGTCCTCACAAGGGCACTGGGATGACCGACCTGGCCAGAGAAGCCCCTCTGACTTCCCTGAGGCAAGTTACGGGGGTCAGAGCACCTCGGGGCTCCACTGAGACCTCACAAAGGGAGACAGGAGAGAATTCCCCACAGAAATCCAAGTACTGTATGAGGGGCACAGACTCCGAGCTGCCAAGAATGAGTGAATGAATGAGTAAATGAATGAATGAATAAACAAGACAAATTTTCACTGCACTCTTCTACTGTTTTAAAATAATAGATCTGACCCTACAACTTGGCAATTTAACTTTTTAATAGAGAAATTAATCTGGCATGTATGTCTTATTAGCTTACTTATTACCGCTATATCATTGTCATCATTATCATTGCCATCGTCATTCTTTCAATGGATACTGTAGGGACCTGCTGCCATTTAAGGTGTTTTGTGTGGATTTGATTTTTTTTTAAGAATTTTTTTTCACGTTTAGCCGTCAGATTCTTTTTAGTCTCTGTCAGTTCTTACACACAGTAGACTTGTTCCCTCTTACTACCCAGGGCTGAGGCCATTCTGCAAACACAAGGGCATTGAAGTTCAGGAATATAACTGTTGGCTTTTTTTTTTTTGCTTTTGCTTTCAGTAGTGAGTGCTTTAATGAGAAACTTAAAAATGGTTCTGCCCTGTGTTAAATCCTTTCCTTGGATAAAGATACTAACGGTGGTTGTGTCTCCTAATGATTTTTACTGCTCAATCAGAGCAGCTTGGGGAATGGATTTTGGCAGGCAGCAGTTTATTTCAAGAGTAATAAGCTAGTGTTCCAGCCCTCCACAGTTGATGCCAGTAGTTTTAAATAAAAAAGAAAAGAAAAGAAAAATGTTCATTGACCTTACATCCAGAAGCCTCTGTTCTTTTACATGGAAGCATGTAGTAAGTGAACAGTTGGTTACTAAAACAGATATGTTTTAGTATGTTTATTCCACATATGTGCTTAGAGAAACTTTAAGACAAGGTTAGTGGTTGAGTGTGAGGTCTGGAGGTCAACTTCCTGGCTCCACTCCAAGTTCCCTCATTTAATAGCTGTGTGATTTTGGGCAAGATACTGAACCACTCCATGCCTTCATTTCTTCATTTTAAATTTGAGAATCATAATAGTGTTAATCTCCTGAATGTAGTGTAAGAAAAAAAAGTATGTGAAATATGCATAAGACAGTGTCTGGCATATGGTAAACACCATGTGAGGTTTTCAGATTCTTATTATTCAGTGTATTCTAGGATGGGGGGTGGGTAGAAATTGACTGTAGAGAAGCCAGAAGTCGCCATGGGTGTCAGATGTGTGAGCATATTTTGATACAGTGTAGCAAGCCGTAAACAGAAGTAAATGCAAGACACTGTAAGTGCGGGCAGATGACCAAGACCAACCCAGGCCTTCAAGGACTGTTCTCTTGCAGGCCTGAGCTGAGTATGGAAGGATGAGAAAAACCTAAATTAGCCATAATGGCCAGAAAACTAAGAGGTGGCTGAATTGAGTAAGAAAACCTTGCAATGGTTCTACATAAGCTGGTGTCCTTGGCAGAGGCCCTATTTCAGTATTCTCCTCTGTTCCAAACAATAAATCCGTTGAGCATCATTAGGACATATGGTCTCATTGAGGCCTCACTAATTATGTTGGGTGGTTATTCTTGACAATATATAAACAATCAGTCTAGCCGGCGTGGCTCAGTGGTTGAGCATTGACCTATGAACCAGGACATCACAGTTTGATTCCCAGTGAAGGCACATGTCCAAGTTGTAGGCTCAATCCCCAGTGTGGGGTGTGCAAGAGGCAGCCGATCAATGACTCTCATCATTGATGTTTCTGTTTATCTCTCCCTCTGAACCCCATTCACAAACTGTTTACGTGGTCATAGACCACCGATTAAGATTGTCTGGCCTAGATCATCCTCCCCCTATGTAGGAAACAATTTTTCTTTCCTCCCCTCTGAATTACTGAGCCATAGAGATCAGTTGACTTTTCAGGACATATAATGTAAACCAGGGTTGGCAAATATTTTTGTAAAGGGCCAGATAGTAAATATTTTAGGCTTGGTGGGCCTTGCATTCTCTTTTGCATCCATTCCACTCTGCCTTTGTCTCAGGAAAGAAACCAAAAGGACAATAGGTTGACAACACATTGACGCATCTGTGGCCCACACAGCCATAGTTTGCTTACCAATGATATAAACGTTGTGATCATGTAAGTCTAAAGTTACTAGTCTCTTGTGGTACCATTCAGAAATGATTCTGACAATATATTAAACTTGATTGAAATCTCTGCTCAACTACTTACTAGGTCTGTAACCTTAGAAAGAGGTCTTAATACCACTTAGCTTCAATTTCCTCATCTATGATATAGAAAACACATTAATACTACCCATCTGATAGGTTGTTGAAGGGATAAAATGAGATAATCCATGGAAATGGGTGCTTGATTCAAAATGAGCATTCCTTAAGTATCGGCCATACTACGCGTGGCATTGTGAAGCCTCAGGTTAAAGCAAGGTCAAAATTGAGGAGAATGACAATTTCTTCTTAATCTTTCCTGTTAACCTTTGGCTGAACACCACTCTTTTAAAAAAAGAGAGAGAGATTATTATCTAATCAGGAATTTGCGGATGGTTCTCCTGACCTATTGTTCAGTCATGCCAACAAAACAAATTGATGCTCTATAATCTTGGAGATATACTCTATATAGAAGTGGTCTTTTTTGTTGTTATTTCTGTTATTTTTTCAAGTTTCTGCAAATGAAGGATGTGAGGGAGAAATAAAAAGTGCATGAATTAAGATCCTGAGTTGAAAGGGAGATTTTTCATAATCATTATTGTAATTATTAATAGGGTTTGGGACCCAGCCATATGATTTATGGACACTACATTTCCTTGTGGAGTAAATATGTGTAAAGCTGTATGTTTCCTTTAAAACAGTTGTGAGTACTCAATCATAGCACCAAGAAAACAGACTGAGGAGTCTGGCCCCGAGGGAAGAGCAACCTGGCCAGGGATAGCAACATGGAAAGTTTTGCCCTTGGCCAATTGTTTATTTGCCTTTTTTTTTTTTAACAAAATGTTCATTGCAAAATGAGGGGCTGATAAAACACAACAACAACAAACCACAAAGAGAACATAAAGGTCAAAAACAACAATGGGAGAATGTGTGTTGTTAGGATTCAGTTGCTCCACCCACAACTGCTTGCCTGTTATGAATATTATTATTTCCTCTCGCCATCATTGAACAGTGCACTGATCTCATCCAGGAACGTGATCCCACAGGCCTAATTGTCTGTTCCTCAGTCGGTGCAACGTAAATTAGAGCAACTATGCTGATCACACAGGGAAGGCTCCGTCCCAGTGAATAGGCCAGTAATACTCATGCTGAAATTGAAGTTTTCTTTAAAACCTACCTGTTACCACCCTAGCTGGTTTGGCTCAGTGGATAGAGCGTTGGCCTAAGGACTGAATGGTCATGGGTTCAGTTTCAGTCAAGGGCACATGCCCAGGTTGTTGGCTTAAGCCCCAGTAAGGAGTGTGCAGGAGGCAGCCAATCAATGATTCTCTCTCATTGTTGATGTTTCTATCTCTCTCTACCTCACCCTTCCTCTCTGAAATCAATAAAATATTAAATAAATAAATAAATAAATAAATAAATAAAATAAAACCTGTTACCATGTACTGTTTAGTTCTGGGTAGAAAAATCAGAAATTTTCCTGGAAAGAAATTGGATTTTTTAAGCCATTACTCTCACACTGACCCAGATCATGCCCCTGTGACTAAATTCACTTGGGTAATATCCATTTTAAATATTATGTTAAAATCCTAGCTCTGTGTGTCAGCTGGGGGGCCTCACCGCAGGGGGGAGGGGGAGGGGGGAGGAAACGGATGGTTTCCCTGGAGCACCCGCTGAAGGTCAGCCTTTGTAAATCTTTCCACTGAGAGCAGAGGATTCATTCCTCCAGGC